CATTGTCATTGAAAGATACACTTACTGTATATACAATCATTTGCATAACGCATTACTGTTATTGTTGAGAATATTGGCTACTATTGTCAAATGAGCTTAATATACACAGTACTGCAAAGCTATCCCATTTAACTGTTACTCATGCACATTAGCTGATGGTTTAATTCATTCATTAAGGATCATATTAAAATTATTTTTTTTTACAGATGATGACAATCGTATTACACTAAGGCCAATGTCAGGCCATAAGGATTGTACAAATGAGTATATCAATGCATGCTTCATTAAGGTAAGTGAATAAGTATCATGTATTATCATGACATACATATTTTAATATTATAATGTATTAGTGCATATTAAGATATTGTTGTTGGTTTGTGATGAATTTGTTTTCACATTAGGATTACTCTGATGAATATCAGTATATAGCAACACAAGGTAAACAAGTTACTATTTCCCATACATTGTTTATCACTAGTTGAAAGTCTTGATAGACTGAAGGGATACATGTAATTCATCATCACTTTCAATAACAAGGAATTATAAACTACTGATAGTCAGACTTGAATGACATGTATTAGCTATGATATATTTTCTGCTTTATATTTTTAAGTTGTAAACAGTGCTTTATCTGGTATTCACCTAATAACGTGATTAAAATTTTATAGTGTCAGGAGATTTTGAACAAAATTTTCATTATATTACTTAACAGGGCCTGTATCAAGTACACTTGTTGACTTTTGGCGGTTAATTTGGCAGGAGAGGCCACCTATCATTGTCATGATTACTAACGTCATAGAGGAAGGAAAAGTGAAGTGTCAGCAGTATTGGCCTGATTCAGATACAAAGGATTATGGACCATTCAGTGTAACATTAAATGATGAGCAAGTACTAACAGATTATACTGTTAGAAAAATGCATGTTAAGGTAAAAAAAACTATTATGAAATTAATCTGTCTTAAAACCATTTTATTCAATCAGTTAGTAGATTCAAATGATCAGCCTCCATTGATGATCACACAATATCATTTCACATCATGGCCTGATCATGGAGTACCTGAATATGCAACATCAATACTTCAGTTTCACCGTAGAATTAAGAATGAATACAAACCTACCAAAGGACCGATGCTAGTACACTGCAGGTATTTATATTATAATTTATACATAATGTGTTTATTTATTTATTGTTTTGTTAGTGCTGGTGTAGGTAGGACTGGTACATTCATGGCTATAGACATGGGACTACAACAGGCAGAGAAGGAAGGAGGGATTGATATTATAAGTATTATCAATAGAATGAGACAACAGAGGATGAAGATGGTTCAGACAGCAGTAAGTTAATAATTTTAAATTAGAACTATTTTATTTTATTACTGACAGGATCAGTATATATTTGTGAATGATGCTGTACTTGAGTCAGTGACATGTGGTAATACACAGGTTGATAGTAGGAATGCTCGTATTGTATTCAACAGGATGAGTAACCTGATACTAAACTGGTGAAC